CGTTGAGTGTGAACATCCGTCGCGTCATGAACTCCAAAAGTGTTTCGTGCGATGGTGACTTGTTGGAGTCGGATATGGAATTTTCCCATTCCATTCGAGTGTGTGCGTCGAATTGCTCGATGATAAGATAGTTTAGGAGGTCCATTCCATGAGATTCAATGGGACGACCTATACTCTCCTGTGCGTTGACGACTGTGACGGCAGCGTTGTGGATGCGATGCAGTTCGTCAGCAGTTCCGTTCTTCATTCTCGGCACGGCGGTGAATGCGGCGAAGTTGCATCGGATGAGTTCTCTCTCATTTTCGTAGTGTTTGCACAGTATCGTCCATGCACGTTCGTAGTTGTCTCCTGTCACCGGTAATGAACTTATCAATTTTTCAGCCTGTCCGTTCAAACTCGACCGAAGATGATGCAGGCGTTCGATGTTAGAGATGGTGGCGTTATCACCGACGACAGACAGGAAGAGATCTCGGAAGGTTGGCCACTCGGAGTAAGCTCCCGAAAACTGCGGAATCCTGACTCGAGGTAATGCGGTTCGAGGAGCGGCTTCGTTTAGCTTGACGGTGTCCGAGGCTGACCGAATGCGTTCAGCGTAGCCGTCCAGGATGCTCCTTTGCTGTACGTACGTATTTTCAGTCAAATCATGGAGTCCTGAAGTAACGTAATCACTTTCTCTGAACTTATCTTTCAAGGCAATACGCAGCTGATCGTGCTGGATGACGAACTTATCCCAGGCTTGATCAAGAAGTCTGATGCGGGTAGTTACGGCACTGGATGTGATGTTAGGAGCGCCCATCTTCTTCAGGTATTCGACCGAGCGTGAGATTCGAACTTGGATCTCACGCTGACTATCTAATAATATAGCGGCATCCATGATGTGACACTTACAGTATTTCTTTTCAGGCACTTCACTCTCGTCTTCAAGAATGTTCACACGCGTGCCGGCGCGACGAACTGATAAAATATCCGGCTCGAAGGACCAAAATGTTATGTTTGCGCGAACGCGAGAAGGAGAGCGCGTATTAGAAGGCCGATAGAAATCATTCACTCTTTAATAATTAACACAGAATTTACTTTCACAATTTAACGATACAGTAATTTTACAAAGTTCCAATAGATAAGCCGAGATCGATTTCCAAGTGAGTGTGCGGTAATAATTGCGGTAATAATTGCGGTAATTTATAAGCGGTTTAATAGCGGTTGTACGTACTGAGACTCGAGAGACTAGCCGCCCAATTTTGGTGGGCGCTTCTTTTATCGGTGCGGTACTGAAGCCCCACTAATTTTTACTTCACCAATTAATTTCGGTTATTTAAAAATGTTCGAAGGTGACGCGAGGGCGCCTGTCTTTATTGGAGGCCCCGTAATTTACGCGAAACAAGCACGCACCTGACATGCGCGAAATGCTCGATAGCGAGATCGATTGGCTTTCGGAAGCCACGTGATCGAACGGCGCATGTCTATTACATTGATAATCAATGCGGTGATCGTTGCTTTCGGTTAAGCAATGTTGTTGTTATTGACAGCTTGTTAAAATAATCCTGATTTATCGCCTACTTGTTTATATCGGGCGAGCCTTTTTTCCGCGGTTTTTTCGCATATTCATCGGAAGAAAATATCGATTTTTAGACAGAAAAATACAGACTGAAATAATTATATTAATTTCTTCTCAATTTCGAACAATATTAAATTAAAAAGTTTTTTAAATTATGACATTTTAATTTAATAGAAATATTTTACTAATTAAAATTTTTTAAATTAAAAATTAACTTTTGATTTAACTTAATAAGTTAATCTTATTATATATATATATATATATATATATATATATATATAAACGTAACTAAATTAATTTTATAAGCCTTACTTACTATAACTTTAACTTATTAACTTTTATTAGTTTAAAATAATGATTAACTTAACTAACCCTGATACTAAGCTTATCTTGTTTTCTGATTCGTTTCTTTGTATCACATGCTTTCTGTTTTATTATAAATATTTCATTGCAGTAATGAAATGATTTAACATATTTTTTTTCTTCATTGTTTATTGGTATAGATTGTTTCGTTAGGCAAACGGAATTTTAAGAGAAGAGCAGAACGATTAGTAATAAAAAGATTTAGACAAGAAAAAGAGAACAATTTATGAGATCTAGAATTATTTCCAAAGTTATGTCCAGAAGAAATAACAATAATAGTGATAGTAGTAATTCTTCTTCACTTGTCGATATCAATATTCTATTTTCTGATGATTTTTTTGATCGACAGAACCAACATGCTCAACTAAGTGGAGCAAATAACAATAATGAGTTTATTATTCCGATGAATGTGCCCACACAATTTCATTTAAATGAGGCAGACAGCAATGAAGAATTTGAAATGAATGATGGAGAATCTCACTTCGAAGTTGAAGATAGACTTGATAGAGAATCTGGTAATGAAAGTGATAGCGAAACTGCAGCTGAAGGAAATGAGAGTGTTGCAGTTTGATAATAATATTGCAACAGAAAATTTTATTCTTACAACAATCAAAGAATGGAAGTGATTATAGGTAAATACACATATTGCCTTATAAATTTTATTTATGTGTTTTTTATAACAGAAGTAAGATACTTTCCCTCAAATATTTCTTACTTGTGTCTAATAAATTTACTCAAGACATTATTTCATTTCTAGGTGCAATTCATGACAAGAGACCCAATGTATCTGTTGCGGATTTATCATTATATGCAGGACAATGGTTAAAGAATGCTCCATATAGAAAACAAGATGATGGAAGTTACGGAAGACGTGATAAAAAGTTTAAAGAAGCAGATGAGCACTTATCTTCATAAGCATTTATCCATATTTTATTTTGTTTGGCAAACATGCATTCAATATAGTTCAATATAGTTTATGTTTACAGTTTTATGTTCACACATATATATTTATAATAAACAGCATAATAATAAACTTGAAATTTGTGAGAAGTTATTCAATAACTTTCTTTTATAATGTTTTTTTCTTTTTTAGTTTAATATACATATATATATATATATATATATATATATATATATATATATATATTATGTTTGCATGTTTCTATCTTATTTCAGTATATTTCTTAAATCAGTCATTTTCTTTCTCATGATGCGCTTTATTTTAGAAAAGATAAAAAACAAAAAATATTTTAAATATAGATGGGCTATGAGATGCGTACCTGGCGGGCGTACATGGATGTTAGGCGCGTTATACCGAAATTTAAAGTTTTTGATATTACTTCGATAAGAAAATATTTCTCAAATAGTTATTGTAAAATACAGTATAAAAAAAATAATTGCTGTTTATACACAAATATCGACGTCGAATTGACGTCAAATCGACTTGTCAATGACTGGTCGAAATTTAAGCCCATTTTTAAGTCAAATCGACTACAAATTTCGACCGTCGATCGACCAGTATCATCGACGTCGAATCGACGTCGATTCGACAAATCATTTCTGGCTGGGGATTTGGCACATACAGACCAACTTGCAATAATTGTACGGTACTGTACAAAAGGGAAAATTTATGAAAGATTTTTATGTTTTTATCTATCCATAGTCATACGGGCTTGTCTTTATTTAATACTTTAAAACATTTTTAGAAAAATTGGACTTTCTATTGAAAATTGTGGCCAGTCCTATGATAACGCTGCAAATATGAGCGGAAAATATACTCCTTTCCATAAAAAATCTTAGTCAGACAAGATGGTCTAGTCATTATGAAGCTATACCTGCTTTAAAAATTAGTTACGATACTATTTTAGATATTTTAAAAAATATTTTTAATAATAATTTTAAAAAAGTTGAATGTAAAATAGAAGCCAAAAATTTATAAAACAAACTCTTGAGATTAGAAATCTACATTAATATCTATCTATGTTATCTATATTAATATCTGTTATATTAACTGTACTTTGGGAAGAGATTCTTGAAAGATTTAATAAAATTAGCAAAAAAATTACAAACTCCTGGTTTAGACTTATGTGAAGGTTATGCTTTAATTTCATCTCTTGAATTATTCGTAAATACCATTAGACAGAATTGTGATGAAAAATTAATTGAGTATGAACTGAAAGCAAGAGGAATGAGTTCCGAGATTAAACAAAATTATAGCGACATAAATCAAAGAATTAAAACACAGAAATACGCAGATGGTGAGAAAGGTAAAGATATACTTATTGTTAAAGAAAGAGATAAATTTCGTATTCAGGGAGTAAATATATAGTTAGTTTCATTAATTTTTATATAGAACTAAATAAAAGAAGAGAGGTATATGAAAACTTTGGAAACTTTTGGAAAAAGATTTAAATTTTTAATGGATATAGGAAACAAAACTGTTTCAAATATTGATGATGAAAGTAATAATTTTATTATAGAACACTTCTTATATGTTCTCATCCAGTAAACGTCGTCTGTCCTTTAAAAAGGTAACATTTCGACTCAAACAACAAGTCTGACGAGAAACGAAATCTCAAAAGAAATGAATATATACAATAAAACAAAATATAGTATTACTTTTGCTTTCCTTCGCAGATTAATATCGAAAAACAGAAATGAGTAGAATTATGGAAAGGAAAAATAAAATTAAAGCACATCTCAAATTATGTCATAAACTTGAATTAACTTTAAAAAAACATTCTACAATAACTCAAATATAAAACTTTTCACTACCCGCTAAACACTAAATATAACGGTAATGTATCTCTGAAGTAACAAGTAATGTTACATTTTTAACGTTTGTGCAATATAACAGTAATGTAATTGTTATTTAAAAGTAATATTACGGTTGAGGCGACAATTACCGGACACCCTGTATATATATATTAAACTGCTTAATCCTTTTATTACAGTATTCCAGTGGTTTTAAACAATGATTGTGGTTTAACTTCATCAAATACAGAAATAAATCTTCAGGATGAGAATATTTTTACTGCAAGTCAAAATAATGTTTGTACAAAAAATTAGAAGATTACAATGATGATAGTGGTATATACTACACATATATGTTTACTATTATACATCTAAAATTAGTAAGTTGAATGATAATGCGTTACATTCTCACAAATTTCTTTTTACAGATAAATTATGGACCATCCCTGAAACGAAATTTCTGTTGGATAAATACAATTCATACCTTTCATTAGTGGGTCCAATGAAAAGGTACAAAACTAAAAAAGCCATGTGGAACCGAATTGCCCAAGATTTAAAGGAAATTTTGAACATTGAACGGACTGGTGTGCAATGTAAAAATAGATATAAAACGGTTATAAAGAGAAAGAAAAAATCAATAGATAATAACAGCAAATCAGGTTCTAGCAGAATGGAGGTTGAGTATGAAGAACTGAAGAAAATTTCAGCAGCAGACGGTAGTATCGAACCAGAAATTTTAAGAGGTGTAACAAACATCAAAAATAATGTAGCATTGAAATCGTGCAATCTAAAAATATCAAACACAGAAGTTAAAAAGAAGACTAAGAAATCTTTGCAAGATATTTTATATGACATTAATGAGAGAAAAGAAGCAGCAAAACAACGTCGTCACAAAGAAAAGTTAAAATTATTAAAAGAATTATGTAAGTTAGAATACTTATTAAAAATTGCCAATTACCTGTTGCTTTTAGAAAAATTAAATTTATAAAAATATGCAGAGTTATGATCTGTCAATTTAATAATTTTCATATACGTTGTTTAGAAATTATAAGTTTCAGTCTTATTCACTCTCTCTCTCTCTCTCTCTCTCTCTCTCTCTCTCTCTCTCTCTCTCTCTCTCTCTCTCTCTCTCTCTCTCTCCCTCCCTCTCTCTCTTTCTCTCTCTCCCTCCATACACACACCCCAGTGAGAAATGATCAGTCGAATCGATATCAATTCGACCAATTCGACATTGATTCGACGTTGAATCGACGTCGATTTGACTATCATTTCTCGCTGGGACACACACACACACACACACACACACACACACACACACACACACATATATACAGGGTGTCCGAAAATTCACGCAATATATTTATATTTTTTTATATTTCGACATTATTCATTCCTAGTTTGGCCATTTAAGGGGGGATTCTAGTGTAACGGGTCAAAAAAATCGAAATTTTTTTTGCATAAGTTAAAAGTATAACATCTTAAAAATACGCTCCTACAGTTTTAAAGTCGAATTCGCAAAAATAAAGAAGTTATAGCTCTGTTTAGTGAGACGCGTCAGAGTTCCAAGCAGCAGGCAGTCAATCGATATTTAGTTTGAGCATCAGCCTGCTTTTCATAAAAGTGTTCAAGATCATCTGTTGTCAATTTATGAAGATCTGTCCAAAGATGAATTATTACAAAGATGTTTAGGTGGATACACTCAAAATTGTAACGAAAGTTTTAACGCATGCATTTGGCGGTAAGTATTGGCGGGCGTTGTAATGTTCTTCTCGGTTATCTGAAAGCAAAAAGCGAAATATTTTCTTAAAGTTAGATATTTTCCGCTAGTATTATACCTCCCTAACAAAGAAAAAATAATAAATTAAACAAGTTGTAGCGTTTAAAAAATTTTTTTTTTTTTTAATATAAATTTGATCATATATTGATCAAAAAATGTTATAAATAAGTGCAATAAACATAAAATGATAGGTATAGTACCTAAAGAAATTTATAACGAATTGAACAAAACTTGACCAAAGTTGATCGGTTTATTAGTTCTCAAGTTATCACGCCCGCCAACTTAAAAAACATGGTTTTGAGAAAAACGCGTTTAGTTTTAGATAAAAACTTTAAACGCGTTTTTCTCAAAACCATGTTTTTTAAGTTGGCGGGCATGATAACTTGAGAACTAATAAACCGATCAACTTTGGTCAAGTTTTGTTCAATTCGTTATAAATTTCTTTAGGTACTATACCTATCATTTTATGTTTATTGCACTTATTTATAACATTTTTGATTAATATATAATCAAATTTATATTTAAAAAAAAAAAATTTTTTTAAAACGCTACAATTTGTTTAATTTATTATTTTTTCTTTGTTAGGGAGGTATAATACTAGCGGAAAATATCTAACTTTAAGAAAATATTTCGCTTTTTGCTTTCAGATAACCGAGAAGAACATTACAACGCCCGTCAATGGACGGGAAATTTCAGAGAGGGGTCCAGATTATATATTATATATTGAAATTAAATAATGCAAATTCAAAATAATTAAAATTTTTTGATACCTTAAGAAGGTCTCTTTTTATCCCAAAAAGTTTTATTTGGCTATCATTAATAGTTTTCTAGAAAAAAAATCTTAAACATCGCTTATTTTTTGGCCTGTTACACTAGAATCCCCCCTTAACCCGGGAACACCCTGTATGTATGTGTATATATATATATGTCTAGTTTATATATATATATATATATATATATATATATATATATATGTCTTATCCATATATATTAAATAATAAACTTATATTTTTCTAATAATCCTATTTAGACAAGAAAGGATGCAAGGATCAAGAAAACATGTCAGAAAGTGGTAACCAGGAAAATGAAAATTAATCATTATACGTTTATATTCAATTTAATTTCAATTTAATTCCAGTTAATTAATTTCAATTTATTTTAATTCAATACCTGTTAAGAAATAGTGACAATCGTTGCAAATTAAGAGACCTGCAGCTTGAGAAAGAGCATGAGAACCTCTATTTTTTTTAATTACTGCATCTCTCAACGAGTAGCGCTGTTAGCGCTTCTTCTCGGACTCTAGGGCGCTCTTTTGTCCTGTTTGTGTCTTGTCTTGTCCTTTGGAAGGATTAGTAGCCATCTTGCTTGATGGTAATCGAGAGAAAACTCACTCATTGTTTTTCACGGTCTCTCTCTCAAGAAGATTATTCGGAAGATCAGGATATTTATCAATACCGTTTGCCAATATTTCAAGAAAGATTTCTCGATTGAGGAAAATAGAGAGCCTTTCTCTAATAGTACTGAGGATCAAAGACGATCGAAATTTCTCGAACAGCGTGGCCTCCTGTTCATTCAGAAAATCTCAACCTGATAATTCAAGATAAGTAATAATTCAAACTCAAGGCGAGTACGGGGGCTTCTGGTTAGAATATTTCGTTCTTAGATGAAGTCATATTTCAATCTCCTTAGAGTCAAGTAATCATTCAAATTTAAGGAGATTCATCATTTGAACATCCAGAAGCCCATCTCAATTTTCATTTTTTAACTGGTTAATTTTCTGTGAATTGATTCGATGACGTGACTGTTTTTAAATCAAATGTTTTTGTTGGTGTCTAATCCTGAAGTTTTTTTTGGGACAACTCTGACCTCTCGATTGAGATATCCATCTCATGCGTTTCATTTATTATATGTATATTTTAAGTGTTGCGTCTTTCTTTCCAAAATTACTATTTTAATTATAAGAATGTATATTTATATGAGTTGTTCCATCATCTATTGTTTACTATATATGTCTTAATTACTTTTTTGATCTCTCGATGGAGAGATCAATCTCATATGTTTCATTTCTTATATATATATTTTATATTGCGTCTTTCTTTCTTTCATATATTATTCAAATATAAGAATTATAGTTTACTTAACATTGTTTGTTCAACTCTTGTTTTATATATCTATCATTCTTTAAGACGTCAGTAAAAATAAGTGTTCATTACTTATGATTTATTTTGTTTACGCATTACTGTTAGATTCTGTCTTGCTTTAAGTCTTATTTCATTATAATAATTTCTAATTAACATAATCTCCTTTAATAAGTTTGATATATGTATATATCTATATATATTTGAAGACATCAACATATTAAGTTTTTCATTGAGTGTATTTAGAGTCAAAGATTATTTCTTACATTCCTTTCTCTTAAGATTTATTAAAATTATATCAATTGTTCACAGTCTACTACATTTCTTTATTATTATTAATATCGTCTTTCTTTCAGCATAACATTATTTAATTGAAAAATACTATTAAAAGTATATTATTATATGCTTAATTTGACTCATCAATTGGTGCGACAATAGTTTTTACAAACAAATAGTGAAGCGTTAGATTAACTAAACTATTTTCAGTTAAATTTAAGGAGTGCCTGTCTCCATGTCATCTAAATTGAGTTTCTCAGTTGTAAATTCAGCGTTGAACTTATAACATTTTTTGGTCCTTCGAGCCGGATAGACATTGGATGACAGGAGATAAAACAATAAAGCTCAGTCACGTCAAGAATCGGATAGAGCAACAGTTCATCTTAATGAACTTGATTGCAAATTCTCTTGATAACTTAACTAAGGTTGGGTTATCAAATATAACAGTTCAAAGAGTACAGGCTTGCCTTACTTCTATCAAGGATAACTGGGAAAAGTTTTCTGTTTCTCATGACGCAATTGGATTGGCAATCTCTGAGTTAGATTCTGTCGATCAATTGCAATTAAACGAGAATGAATATTTTTCAGAAAATCTCTATTCAATGACTCATGAAAGTTATTTGGAGGCAGTTGAAAGAATGAGCATAATCTTGGACTCAGTACAGAAGACACTGCCAAGAACACCTTCCTCTCAGTCTCTTTCTCAAGCATCAAGCTTTCCAACGTTCTATCGACATGCTCGATTGCCACGAATCGACCTGCCAAAATTCAATGGAATTCCATCTGAGTGGTTGTCATTTAAAGATTTATTTACATCTCTTGTTTTGAATAATCCTACACTTGGTTCTGTTGAGAAACTACAATACTTGAAGACAAGTTTGATTGGATCGGCTGCTCATTTATTGAAGAATACAACTTTAACAGCAAACAATTTTCAGAAGGCCTGGGAAGCATTAATTTCATTTTATGAGAATAAACGACTGTTAGTCAATGCTGCTCTTCATTCTCTGCTATCACTAAAGCGTATGACAAAGGAATCGAGCAGTGAAATGGAACAGCTTTATACCAGTATCACACAAACTTATCGAACATTGAAACTCTTCAACGACTAGTGCACTGTTGGGACGACTTCCTTGTCTTTGTTGCCGTTCAAAGACTTGATTCGGAATCTGTGAGAGCATGGGAGCAGCATCTCGGTTCATCAAAAGAACCTCCAACATGGACTCAATTCACCGAGTTTTTATTCACCAGATTACACTCTCTTCAGGCTTTCGAAAAATCTCGTGGAGGAAAGAATCCCTTGCAGTCACAGCAACAAACTATAAAAACGCACTATCAAGGAAGGACAAAGGATAGTAACGCCAACAATATTAACTCATGCTCGATATGTTCGGCCAAGCATTATACTACCAGTTGTCCGCAATATATCAACAAAACAATTCAACAACGATTAGCAATTGTTTCAAAGCATAAACTTTGCTATAATTGTCTGGGACATCATCGTGTTTCTGCTTGCCGCATAACAAAACGATGCCATAAATGCGGACGAAAACATCACACTACCATTCATCAGAATAATCCTCAGTCATCGAACTCAGAATCTAACAAGTCAACGACAAAGGAATCTACTGTGACTTCCTCAAAATCAACTGACGCTCAAGTATTACATTCCACATCGGCTCAAACAACGTCATCACTGGTTTTATTAGCAACGGCTCAAGTCATCATCATATCAGAAACTGGAGAACAATCTCGGGTTCGAGCCTTGATTGATCAAGGGTCTGAAATTTCTTTGATATCGGAACGCATTGTACAACAATTAAGGCTACCTAGAACTAAATCATCCCTTTCATTAATCGGTATCGGAGCTCGGAAGTCCGGCACAACTCGAGACATGTCACTCTTCAAATTAAAAAATAGCGACGGAGATTTTGAACAGAGCCTGTCAGCTCATATATTACCTAAGCTTACAACGTCAATCCCTTCGATGAAAGTTGAAAACCCTGATTGGCCACATCTCAAAGGATTAAAATTAGCAGATCCAAATTTTAAGTTCCCAGGAACTATTGACTTGATCCTCGGAGTCGATATATATAGTCAGATCATTGAAAGTGGTTTAAAAAAGGGAGAGGGTTCTGAACCAATTGCTCAACTCACTAAGTTTGGATGGATTATTTCTGGCCCTTCAAGTTTTACTTCATCCTCTTTTAGCCCTCAAAGTTATCATATTTCAGTAGATCAAGAACTTCATGAGTTATTACATAAGTTTGGGAATTAGAAGAAATTCCATCAGTTAGTAATTCTTCAATCTCCACCGAAGAACAGGAGTGTGAAAAACATTTTCAGAGTTTTCTGATATATATGATCCTTCCATGTATGATGATTGTCTCAAGGCAGTAAATAAAATAGCTCATTTTGATGATATTAATAAAAATATGGTGCACCATCAGTTGCATCAAATATTAGAACATACATAAAACAAATTGGTAATTTGTTAATAAGCGAATGCATAAAAGCAAATGATATAGAAAAACAAAATACCACAGAAAATTTTTTAAAATTAGTACAAGAAGATTATGGAATATCTATAAACAAAACAGTAGAAGAAAACATGACACAACATAAAAGACAGAAAAAATTACACTCCCATCTATGGAAGACATAAAAAGCTACATTTATATCTGAAAAGCGAAAGAAAATTATTATATACAAAACTCCAAAAGAAATTTATGTACAAAACATGGCTAGAACTTGCAAATGTTACCCTTACGTCTACACAAGTCTTTAATGGAAGAAGAGCAAGAGAAATTGAACGAGTTACTATAGAAGATTTTAATACTCGCGAAGGTATAACAAAAAATACTTATTTAGATTTATATAAATCATTAGGAACAAATTTACAACAGGTAAATTGTTTTGGCGTATAAATAAAATACAAATTTTATGTAGTGCGTAATGTAATACAAAGTAATAACTCCATAACTTTTGTATATAAGTTGCTGATAAATACGTAAGATTCTTAATCCGTGGGAAATTAGGCCGTACAGTGCCTGTGATTTTAGACATGGAATTAGTTCAATGTATTGAACTAATTTTGAAGCATCGAAAGGATGCATATGTTCCTGAAAAAATCCATATGTGTTCGGCATACCTAATAACAACAAACGCTATTTTAAATATTTAAGAGCATGTGTTCTTATGCGATATTTTTCTAAAAAAATGTAATGCACAATTACCACATGTATTAAGAGGCACTGAATTACGCAAACACATTGCTATAACATGCATTACATTAAATTTATCTGAAAATGAAGTGGATGATTTGGCAAACTTTATGGGACATCATGAAAAAATTCATAAACGCCACTACCGGCAGTCAATACCAGCATTAGAGATTATTCGTATGACAAAGTTTCTTGAGGCAGCGTTAGGTGAAAATGTGCAACAGCAATCCAATAGCGATTCAGGTATAATACTACTTGTTTTGTTATTTTATATAATATTTAAAAGTTATGTATTTTTGGTATAAGTTGTTTTTTATAAAAACATTAACTATTCTTTTTAATTTCTGTATTTTATTATACATACATATACATACATATAATTAATCAGAACACAAAATTAAATGCAATTATAAATTAGTTTACAAAACTAAGGCTAATGTATTACAACCATGGCTCGATGTGCAGAAATTATAAATAAAGTGTAATGCATTTTATGAAAATGTGTGTAGCGAGGGCTGACTTGTGTTTTCTATTGAGTGTCAGCATGTGTAAATAGCTATTTTAATGATAATTAAAATATTTCATCAGTTAATTGAACTGATAATATATTTAAAAAGATATATATATATTATTTCTAAAATTTCACTTCGCCAACATTTTTATCGATGTACTGGTCGTAGTAGCAAACATGCTAAAGCTGTAACAATTTTGGGACGTTCAATTTTAGGTAGCGTTCATAGCGCAGCTAATAAAAATTACGATCTGTAATATGACCTGTGATAAGAGAGGATGATGTATATCGCGTAATAAAATATGACAAGCTTATTATTTTATATGGTAACAAATTATCTATTAAATATAAACTGCAACACCAACACGACATGATTCGCGCGCATTTAAGACTGTTGGGCCGTTTTCTATTAACTATTAAAGAAATTAATAAAAATATAATTGATTTCGAATCTATATATCATCCAAAATTTTATGAAGATGTTATTATCACAGTTAACAAAGTAGCGGGTTTAAATAATGAAGTAGGAATTTATTCTAAACCTACTACAGCAGCTATGTTAGGAACATTAATAAAAAAATTGGTCATATACTTATTACGGAATGTATAAAATGTCAAAATGATGAAAAAAAAGGTTTAGTTAAAGATTTTCTAGAATTATTAACAGAAGATTACGGAACTAGTGTAAACAAAACAGTTGTGGAAACACGCTTACAACATCAAAGACAAAAAAGTGATGATCTTCCATCATTGGCTGACATAGCTAAATTGTACATGCATTTAAAATGTAAACGACAGAAAGCATTTGAGGATTTAATGAATGAATACACATATGAAACTTGGTTGGTGTTGGCAGAATGTACGTTAACCTCAGTTCAATTATTCAATCGTAAACGAGCTGGTGAAATTGAACGCATATTAATCGCAGATTTTGAACAATACAGAGGTATTGATTCAGCCACAATGAATGATCTCTTTAAAAATATTTCATTGAAGGCACAAGAAGCAGCAAAAAAATATGTGCGTTTTGTGATTAGAGGCAAACTTGGTCGCACAGTACCTGTGATATTAAACACTGATTTGTTAGAATGTGTAAAATTAATACTGCACTTTCGCGAAAAGGCTAAAGTTCTTGCAGAAAATCCATATATCTTTGGTCTTCCAAGTTATAATCGAAAACGGTTTAAATATTTGAGAGCTTGTGTTCTCATGAAGAAATTTTCTGAAGAGTGTAATGCAAAAGTTGCACATTTATTACGTGGCACGAAGTTAAGAAAGCACATTGCTACATTTGTGCAAATATGGAGCTTGCTGACACTGAAATATCTGACCTTGCAAATTTTATGGGGCATGCTGAAAAAATCCATAGAGAAGTGTATAGACAACCCATTATTAGTCGTGATATTTTGAATATTACACAACATTTAGAAGCAGCACATGGATGTGATTCTCAAAGTTCTAGTGAAGATAGTAGCAATAATGAAACAAATATCGGAAAAAAAATATAGAAATAGCTATAAATGAAGGTATAAATTATTAATTATATTAATAATGTTGATGTATTGTTAATATGTATCGTTCCTAATATATATATATATATATATATATATATATATATATATATATATATATATAACGTTATTTTATGAAAGTGAGAGAAAGAGAGAAAGAGCATTTATTTACATTTATTTACATTAGTTATTTACATAAATTTTTCTGAATACTTTTTGAAAACAAAATCTATCAAAATGTGTACATATATTAAATGATATTATTAATGCAATATGTATACTAATTACAGAAATAAGTGATGATAGCTCATTTGTTAATACATCTACATCAGGAATTGTCGATACATCTACAGCAAAGATTACAGATGGTTCAAGAACTAAAAAGCGTTCTTGTAAGTATTGTATTATTTTATTTTAAATTCGTACACATATAATGAGTACGTATACGTGAGTATATGCGTGTATATACAGTTATGTGCAAAATAATAGCACCGGTTGAAAAAATGAGGGGAATATGTATGTTTCCTCCATCATATTTAACTGTCTTGACTGTATATCTAGGATTAAATTCTGACTTTTGTGGTCTTCGAACAAATTGACGAATATCAGGAAATCTTTTAATAATCACTTTCGATGGTGGAGAAAATATACAAATTCCCTTCATTTTTTCAACTGGTGCTGTACGTGTATACGTATATATTATAGGAAATCAATATCTTTGTGTAGGTTCTCCATACGGTCCCACAAAGCGAAAACGATGGACTGAAGATGAAAAAAAAGTCGTGCTAACAGCGTTTGATCAAGTTATAAGAAGTGGCAAATTACCTTCATTAAAGGAAATTCATGAAGTTATAAAACAAAACCCATGCATAAAAAACAGATCATCTCCGCAAGTAAAAACATGGTTACATAATCAACTGAAAAGAAACAAACAATCAAATTCAAATTAATTTTCTATTTATTTTGCTGCATTTTTTCGTGCTTTTTTCTCTGAGTCAAATGTTAAATGTAAATAATGTAAGTAATGTTCCTAAACGCTCTGGATTTTTTGTTATTAATATGTTCACTACACACTGCAACTTATACTTTGTAAAATCATAAGCCTAAGCATAAATAATGAGTTAAGTCATATCAAATTCATGACAATAATAAGTATATAAAGTAGTAGTATATAAGTAGTGTACATATAGTAGTATATAAGTAATATATATAAATATACAAGAAAGAACATAAGTAGAGTTATTTTCTTTAAAAAAAACGAGATAATATATTTTTCTTTTCACTATTTTAATTTATTATTATTCTGAATATCTTCGAGTATAGGTTAGGTTTGCGAATAAGAACTATTTTGTTGCATTTTCAAGATAATATAAAATCTATAAAATATAAAAATATTTTATTTAAAAAATCTCTAAGTTAAATTAAAATAATTGTAGTGTGGCATTTAAGTTATCTTTTATAAAACTTCGCAAAAGTTATAAGTAATATATTAATATTATAGTAGTATTAATATTATACTAGTAATATAGTAAAATATTAAAGAACATATTAATAGTGAACATATTCATTTTTATATAAATATATAAAAATGCGCTTTAAATTTAATTAGATATGTTATAATTTATATGGAAAACAATATGTTTGTGTCAAATGACAAAATTAATTTTATATATCAACTTAATTTAATCGGCCATTAGAGCCCAACAATGCGAAAATAAATTTTTTCGCTTAATAATGTTATTTCGGGAATTGTATCTCTATGGTTGTGTGAAGATCAATTCCTTTGTGATCTCCAATCATACAATTAAATTAAGTTGATATTCTTGATTTTCAGAGCCGAATTAAATTTGTTAAAATTAATTTAATATGTCAAATTAGAATTAATATACTAGATATTTGCTTTTTTATATTATTTTTATTTTCTTACATTATATGTGTTTGTTTATTTAAAAGCCAATTAAATATAACACATAAGCCAATACTAATAAAATTTGACATAAAATTAACAAAATTATTTTATTATTATTATTATTATGTATAGATGTTCCGTTTTTATTTTCTAAACCACTACTACAAATCATACATTAAAATATAAAACTTAAAGAATCATATTAATGATGACTTTTCTTTATTAAAAGTATTAAAAATTCTAATCAGTTATTTTTTAATGAAATACTTATATACTTGTACGGTTGTTTAATATGTCAAAATTAAATTAAATGTCAAATTTGAATTAATCTTCTATACCTTCTCTTATATATGTATATATTTTTTTAACAAACCAATTTTTCTTTATTTTATTATATAAATTTGAATGTATGGTATGTCATGAAACAAAATATGGTACACTTGCTTTGTTACATATGCGTTAACTTGCTAAACAACTTGAAAATAGTTCTATATTTGTCAATAGAGAAGCACACATATCTAATAATAGGAATGTCATTACATCAGCTCGATTTAATTGAATTATAACTATGGTTCAGAAATTATGTAAACAGACATCTCTGTAAATATCTTGAATCATACAAAAACATATTAACGATACATATTTTCCAAGAGGAATAATGTACTTTCATTGCCTTTGTCACATCTTATTAGTGCATTAAATTCCTGAAATTATACAATAATATAAAATATCTGATATGCTAAAACGTTCTTCATAATTTTTACAAAATTCTTTACCACAAACCTGTTATTGAAATGCATCCAACCAGTTACATTGATAAATGTTTCTTTGGATTATAAACATAGTGTGACAGTTTGATAAACTTTTTTCTTTGATATCAGATATTTTTTCATTTTCCTTTATTTATTCAATAATTATTCTGAAAATTTATGAATACAAGTTTTATTTTGTTATAAGTTGTATTATAATACTCATAATGCAAAGTCTATAAAATATAAGAAACTTTGTAAAGAAATATTATTACGAATAAGTTAATATACATATGTAAATAAAAGAGTGAGAATAAGCAGCAATTGCAATTTCTCTACCAATTCATTGTTTATTTCCTGTAGAAAGTCCTCTCGTTTCTCTTATATAGTGACAGGCGGTTAGTTTAGGTTAGTTTAGATTAGAAAACTCATCCTGCTTTGTGTGCCAGTTTCAAAATCACATAGAATTTTAATTGCTAAGTAATTTTTTTAACCCTTTGCATGTTTATACATCGCGGATTAAAATCTAATCATTATGAACAAATTTTTTGTATATTTAATGTTGCGATATTTGTTATATCAACAAAATACAGCAATATCAGCATGCGTTTGATAAACATACCTTGCAATATATTTAGTAATATATAATATATACATAGGGTTTTCTAAAGTATTGTTAATGTAAAATCAACTCTCATGAGTAGATAGAGCGTGTCAAACTGAAGAAAAAAATATTAGGTCATTTTGATAAATTCGTAATAATTATTAAGTTATTAAATAAATAAGATCGATCGATCCAAGCGCGCGTCGAGAAAGAGACGTCCCACGTTACACGATATCAGCACGCGGCGAAGCTGTGGAAGGAACGGACGATGGCTATACACGAGCGGCGCGTAAGAAGTACTCTTCTCATCAATTTAACACGCTCTATCTACTCACAAGAGTTGATCCGCGAAATCGGGAACACCCTGTATATTTGATTGATCGATTTCCTTACAGCCTTAAGCCCGTCAGATTACATATTGAAGAGTGTGGTTGAAGATTGAAATTTGACCAGTCACAACAAAAAAATTTTACCGTATTGGCTTCTGTTAATTAAATGTTATGGAATAATCAACTATGACTAATTTAGTTTCTGTGTTTATCGAAAAGGGATCAATGTGCTTCTAGTCTTTACATGATTGCAGAAGGCATAAAACATTTATATTCTTAATTACTTATACATAAATGTGCTTGCTTGCATATTTTTGGTGTACACGCAAGCTGTAAAATAGTCTAAAGATTTATGTACAGTAATGCATCTACATTGAGATATTGCTTTAATTAATTTGCACTGATGTATATGTTATGTAAATATAATTCTAAACAAATATAAATATGAATTATAATATAAATATAAATTATATATAAATATAAATATAAATTTAATTATTATATTGAATTACTGATATATCTAGACACATAATAGTACATAATATATACATCATGTAAATTAATTAAAGCAATATCACTATGGAGAAGATATATTACTGCATTCTGTACGCAAATCTTTAAACTATTTTACAGCTCGCGTGTACAACACACACATGGGAGCAAACACACTTATATATAGTTAGGAAATTGTTTTATATAGTCTAAAGATTATATAAAGAATGCAGTAATGTATCATCTACATTTTGATATTGCTTTAATTAATTTTACATTAATGCATATATATCATGTACTATCTTAGTGTCTAGATTTATCATAATTCTAAATATAATTCTGAAAAATATAATATAAATATGAATTACAATATAAATATAAATGTAAATTATATATAAATTATAATATGATTAAATTATATTGGAATTACTGATATATCTGGACACATAAGACGTACATAATAAATATATCAGTATAAAATTAATTAATGCAATATCGCAATGCAGATGATACATTATTGCATTTTGTACATAAATCTTTAGACTATTTTACAACTCGCATATACAAACATATGCAAACAAACACACTTATATATAAGTAGTTAGGACATAGATGTTTATGCCTTCTGCAATCATATAAAGAAGCACACTGATCCTTCTTCAATAAACACGACAATTAAATTAGTCACAGTTGGTTATTCCATAACATTTCACAAGATTCTGAAAGCAGAGACAATAATAATGAACTCTCGCTTAACAAATATCATGGTTTGTAAATGGATTTCTTTTTGATGCTTGATGACAGGCCTGCTCTGCAATTATTACCGATGCATAGGATATATCAATTCTTTATATCTGAAATAGACATTTCATAATTTTAATACACAGCATAATATTTAGAAATATCATATATATATATTAACTTTTGCAGAAATGATATCAGGCTCATACCGTATACATATCCTATCACATTTTATTAAACAGCAAAGCATCTTAAGAATACTGAAGTAGCAACTTGCATCATAAAAGATATTTTTCACAGCATTGATGAAGTATTGCATAAAATACCATCATTTGCTGTAGAACCAAAGCTGATCTACAATTGAAAATAAAAAATATAGCTTACTTATATTGGAATATTGTTAGAAATATATCACTTAAATACAATCTTGTTTTGGAAAAGTATTTAAATACATAATAATATTAACTAAAAATATGACGTTTCTCATTTTTGCTAAAAAAATGTATTTCAGACGATTATTATAATAAATTGAACTTCCTCTGATACGTACTCTAACACTTTGGTAGGTACGAACGCAAAGATATACGAAAGATTAGGAGAACTGTCATAACCACAGATTAATAGACAGATCGCCAAAGGTCTGGATGAAGGAGAGACCAGCATTTCTCACTGATTTCAGCGCCATATCGTAGTAGTGGTCAATGCAGTAACTATTAATACGTTCCCAAGATAAGAGCGTCTCATCATGAACTCGTCCGGGGCATGTACGAGATTTATCTTTTCGTAGCGTTCGCGTATTTCGGAAAGGACAGAATTTTATGATGTTATAAAATAAATAAATATTAACCTGACCTATTATAATTATTTTTTTAATAAATGTTTCATTATTATTATCATCTAAGTCTAAGTCGTTTAATTAATTTTTAGTTTTTTAATAATTAATTTAATTTATTCTAATCATTTTAATATGTGAAAAAATACTAATACGTATACGTTTTATATGAATTAATATATTTCGAGAGTCGAATTATATATTTTTAATAATATAAAAGTGTTCAAAATTATATTTGACTTTAATTTTAATTATTTAGCAAAGAGTTCCGAAATCTCTACACACATAATAGGGATTTTGTTCATCCATATAATTCGCAATTAAGTATATATGTTATTATTAATTTTAATAAAATACAAAATTAAAATTAAAGGTCAAATATAATTTTTGAACATAAATATATTTAATTCGTATAAAACGTATACCCGTGATAGTATTTTTCTCGTACAAAAATAACTAGAACAAATTAAATTACTCATAAAAAAATTAAAAAATAATTAAATAATTTATTATATATGATAATAATAAAACATTTTATAAAAAAAACAGATTCAATAAATATAAGTATATATATAACATGTACTTATATTATTGAATCTGTTTTTTTAATAAAATGTTTTATAAGCTTAGAAAACTTGACTTTGACGTAACTAGCAAATTTTATTTAATTATTTCACGACGGTTTGACGTAATAAAATGTTTTTATATTATTATATAAAATATAAGTTTAAATTCTTTAATTAATTTTTAATCTTTATGATTTTTAATTTACTCTAATTATTTTTGTACGAGAAAATACTATCATGGGTAACGTTTTATAATTAATTTAATATATTTGTGTTTAAAAATTATATTTGACCTTTAATTTTAATTTTTATTTTATTAAAATTAATAATTAACATATATACTTAATTGCGAATATATGGATGAAAAAAATCCCCATTATGTGTGTAAGAGATTTCGGAACTCTTTGCTAAAAAATAATTAAAATTAAAAGTCAAATATAATTTTTGAACACTTTTATATTATTAAGATATATAATTCGGTTCCCGAAATATATTAATTCATTATAAAACGTATACGTGATATTATTTTTCTCATATAAAAATGACTAGAATAAATTAAATTAATTATTAAAAAACTAAAAAGTAATTAAACGACTGACTTAGATGATAATAATAATGAAACATTTTATTAAAAAAGATTCAATAACTAGTAGGTCAGGTTATAATTTTTATTTATTTATTTATAACATTATGAGCTATTAAGCTCATCATCTCGTTCGCCTCTGTCTTGCTTTCATCGGCAAGTCACAAACGATATATGATACTCGTATGTTCCTACTTCAACTCTCGAGAATCTGAAACAACGAAACTCGTGTCCAATATACAGGTGTCCGGTAACTAACAGACCAATGATTACAAATGGATTCTTTGGTCAATTTGGGAACGATTTTTCCTCAGCGAAAATGTCGAAAAAGGTCATCATTTTTACAACTTTCCAATCTTTGTCATTATGTATCTTTATAACTAAGCCTTAAATTAAAATTTTATTATAGTAAACTCTACCTGAAATTAACTGAAGAATGTAATTATGTTAGACTTTTAACTCCAAAACGTTAGTTTTCAAAAACCTATTTTTTTTCAATCGCTTATAACTCGAAAATTATTGACTTCTCAACATTTTGCTAAGGAAAAATCGTCTCCAAATTGGCCAGAGAATCCGCCCTTAATCATTGGTCCGTTAGTTACCGAACACCCTGTATATATTATATAAAAGTGTATAGCACGTCACAAGAAGCTTGTGAGCTTACAGCGATAAGTAAAACAATTGCGTATCTATTTCTTGCGTTTATCTGTTAAACGCGCGCTTTAATTTTTCCAACGTTTTTGCCTGTTTATATTTTAAAGGTCCTCTCTTCTAAAAATCTTGTTTTAAAGATCCTCTCCGCGAGCAAAATTCGAAAACATAATTTTAATATTTTACTTTATTATTTGTAATCCTCGGTAATTTCAAAATTTTTCTATTGAAAATTATTAATTTTCTATTGCCAATTAATTTTATCACAGACCTTTACTCTTACTCCCATTGCACTTTCGTTTGCGGTTTTTCAGTATACGATTTTTTATCGTAGTTACTGAAAATTATTATTGTGAATTATACTTGTGCAATGATTGAAGAATTTACAATTTCGTTGAAATTGTTGATTTTTCAAAAA